AAAAAAAAAAAAAAACTTTAATCACCCAGAGTGATAGAGATGGGGTTTCTGGTCTCAAGTACAAATGCAATAGAAGTTGCAGGAAAAAAAAATAAAACTTAATGTGGGGCTAGGGAAATTGCTTGGTGGCATAAGCACCTGCCTGGAAAGTGCAAGGTCCCAAATTTGATCCCTGGTACCACATGCCATGCTGGCCCTGGAACCCTGGGCACACTTTGCAAACCCCGACAACTGGCGTGGTGGTGTATGCCTATAATCCCAGCACTAGGTAGGCAGAGGTAGGAGGATCACTGCAAGTCTGACCCTGTATCAGAAAACTTAATATGACATGTCAGATTTATAATAAAACAGAAAAATGAAGTAGCAAACAATATTTGTAACAAGCTTAAACTGATACAGTCAAATAATTTGTATAAAATTTATTTTAAACAACCAGAAACCTAAAATTACTAATGTAATGATAAACGGGGAAAATTTTTTTTAAGTATTTATTTTTTCAGGCAGAGTGTCACTATGTAGTCCAGGCTAGTGTTGAATTCATTATATAGCCAGTCGGACACTTGTGGCAGTCCCCCTACTTCAGCCTCCAGAGTGCTGGGATTACACTGTAGCCAGGTCGAATCAGAAATTTACAGTAAGGAACTACATGTGACCAGAGTGCATCTGAGACGCATGCATGTTTTTACCTCAGGAATAACTAAAATGCAGTCATTTGAACTATTAAATATCACATTTTTTTAATAGTACTAATTGTGGGCAAAGTTAACATGAGACACACACTTTCCTAAATCCCCCCATGGAAAGTTAAATAGTTTTGTGAAAAGCAGTTGGGAATACATTTCAAGGAGTATGAAGTAGGCAACTTGCTTTGACACAGCAATATTTCTAGGATTTTCCTGAGCAAACAATCAGAAATCCAAAAACTGGGTCTTAGAAATATTTATCACGGCTTTGAAATAAAATTGCTTTTTCTTTTTTTTCTTTTTTGTGGAACCAGAGATTGAACTCAGGCCCTTGTGCTTGCCAGGAAAGCGCTTATTCTACTGAGCTATCTCCCCAACCCCTTTGAAGTAAAATTTCAAAGAGTATTTATTGATGTGAGGAAATGTTCACAAACATCGTCTGAAAATTTCACTGAACATTTATTTTTTATTTATATTTTGGCAGAACCCGGGATTGAACTCAGGCCCTTGCTCTTGCCAGGGAAGCACTTATTCTACTGAGCCATCTCCCTGGCCCTTGAAAATTTCTATGATCCAGATTTTATTATTTAAAATATACATAGGCACATAAACATACCTAAGGAGTAAAGGAAATAAAATAGTGACCTCTTTATTTTATGTTAGTGAATAAACATTACTTAAGTAAAGCTAATTTTTTTTCATTTTTATTTTTAAATTTTTCTACGTGAAACATTTTTATTCATTTAAAATTCATGACATATGCCAACAAATATATATTTATTTTATGATCAGAAAATAAATGGCTTCTCTCACCACCCAAGAACTACTAAGTCAACATTGATTTGTTCGCATTTTTCCTCCCACTAGGATTTGGGGAGATTTTCTTTTTACATAGCTACAAGTGTGTTTCTGGCTTCCTTTCCCCATGTGATACTCCTATTTCAAGCAGAGATAGGTGGTACCTGAGGGACTCTCAGCCTGGGTCAGATGACCTGAACCCTTGTGGGTGGTCCCTGAAGGAGCTGTCCCCATCCTTATGAATCTGCCTCACTCTCTTGACCCTTTGCTGCAGGAAGACACTATGGAGGAATCTGGGTGGAAGCTGGTGCACGGTGATGTCTTCAGGCCACCCCAGTACCCAATGATCCTCAGCTCCCTGCTGGGCTCAGGCATTCAGCTCTTCTGTATGATACTCATCGTCATCTGTGAGTGGCCTGGTTACCTGGTGTAGGGCCTAGAGGAGGATGGCCCACCTGATCCTGACACATGGCTAGCTCTCTGTGTACCTCAAGAGAAGAGGATGCACTTCTCTCCCAAGAGAAGGGAAACACTTGGCGCCAAGCGGATGTGTCAGCTTCTCTGCTGCCAAACAGCAGTCTATCCCAGCAGTAGCCCTAGACCCTAGGAATGCTGATCCTCCATGCAGCTTCTGTACTCCGTGTGCAGAGCCCACCATGTCTACCTTCTCCATGAGACCACACAGCGCTGTGAGGTTGGCTACCTTTTGTAGTCAGATTAAATGATTGACCCAAAGTCAGTACCAGGTTTAGACTAGACTTGGTCTTTTTTGTTTAACAGATAACACTAATTTATAGTAGTTACAGCTGTACAGTCAGTCTGCCTAAACTTATATCTTAACCTCATGCCTCCAAGATTTATGACCTTAGGCAAGTGACTTAACCTTTCTGAACCTGTTTCCTTGTCTGAAAAAAAGAGAAACTAATCTCCACTTTGCAGAATTGAGAAGGCATATTCATTGCCCTGTCTATTGAAACCTGCAATTAAGATTCACCCAGTCCAGGCCCAGCAGCTGTCATACCCCTCTGATCCCTTCAGACCCAGTCTTTTCCTGTAGAGGGAACGAGACCATGTTGTTGAGAAGGCACAGGAGAAGGGAGCCTCTTCTAGCCCTTGAGGCCTGGGGACCTGGTGACCACCCAGCCTGACTGCCTTCCTACCCCCACAGTTGTGGCCATGCTTGGGATGCTGTCGCCCTCCAGTCGGGGAGCTCTCATGACCACAGCCTGCTTTCTCTTCATGTTCATGGGGTAGGTATATGAGAGTGGGCCCCCAGAGGCTGGCACGTGCCTCCTTCATGCCGCTAATGGGCCCCCATGATGTGGACTCCTGCCCTGTTCCCACAGGGTATTTGGTGGATTTTCTGCTGGCCGACTGTACCGCACTCTTAAAGGCCATCGATGGAAGAAAGGAGCCTTCTGTGTAAGTGCTAAACCCCTTCCCAGTATTCAGTGAATCTGAAAAGCTTACCAGGCTTCCCAGGAGTGTAGACAGGCCCTGTGGGGTTTTCAGGCTGGAGACTAAGTAGTGACGTGATAGAACAGGAAGGCTTTGCATGCAGGTGTCAGCATTCTAAGCATCAGGACCTCTCTAGGCCTTAGTTGGACCATCTATAAAGTGAGAGAGAGGTTTGAGTTTGGACGACTAAGGCAAGAGATGTAATAGAGGATTCAAGAAATGGCAGAAGAGCAAGGTTGATCAACAAGGCTACAGGAAAATCCCCTTTCCAACAGGATAGTGAATGGCCTGCCTATGTTACCAGCCTGTTACCAGACTTGGTGCCACTGTTGCTGTCCAGTGAGCATGGCTTCTGCCCTTCCCACTCCCCTGCTGAGAGTAAGGAAAGATCTTGGCACCAGAAAAGACCATGGAAATGGAATCCTTGGGCCACCTCACTGCCCAGCGACCCCTGAGCCCCTTCTTCCTGCAGAGTGTTTTTCCTATTCATATTCCTGGTATCTAACACTATACATGAACCAGCAAGGCAGATGAGGAATTCCCTGCTACATAGCAAAATGAGTACACAAAGAAAAGGAGAAAGTGATGTTTGAGCAGGTTCTTGAAGAAGGAAGTTCAGAAGGAGGGAAGCAGTCAGCAGAAGAGTCTCAGATCCTCGTCCTGGCTGCCCAGATGCTAGTCCTAGCTCTATTTCTGCTTGGTCTGATAGTCATAAATAGCCCTCTGAGCCTCAGTTTTCCTATCTTTCTAATGAGGAGAGTTACATCTACATCTCTGGGGTTCATGGATAGAAAGAGACTGAGTGTAAGGCCTGGTAAAACTTTAGTATCAGGAAGCAGATACCTGATAAATGCCCAGTGACAGGAAAATGCTAGAACAGTGACCCTCTGTTGGGTGACAGATGCAGTGAGACAGGTGAACGTGGCAGCAGAGAGTGGGCACCAGGTTGAAGAGGGCCCTAGTGATCATGGGCAGTACATGAAAAGGAGGCTCAAGTGTAAATCTTGGAGTGGTAGTTAGCTGTGCTTGGACACCAGCCCAAGGGATTCTGACAGACTAGAATGTACCACAGTAGGTCTGCAGGTGAGTTCTCAAGTCGTAACTCAGTTGAACCTCTGCTCCACCCTTGGCAAACTGTATAAAGATGGGGGACAAGAGGTCATAATGTATATGGCCTCAGTGTCTGTCTTTAGAAGGAAGGATGATCCTGGTGTGGCAGTACATGCCTATAATCCCAGCACTGAGGAGGCTGAGGCAGGAGGATCACCTCAACTTCAAGGTCAGCCTGGGCTACATAGTGAGTTCAAGGCTAAGCTGAACTACACAGTGAGACCTAACCTCAAAAAACAAATCAAACAAAAAACACCAGGCCAGACAGATAGCGCCTGCTTAGGCAGAGCACAGCAGCTGGTTTCAGATCCCCAACATGCAGTGCCAGCCCCGCCCCCAGAGTACACTGAGATGAAGATTGAGACTGGGCATGGAGGCATATATATATAATCAGTGCCCCCATGAAAAATTGGCAATATCCTGAGCTGAAGATGCATCTAATATTCCTAACCAAATATAGTACAGTTTCTATTGAATTTATATCACTTTCACACCATCAGAAATCAATGATCAGTGGAAGCTTCATAAGCTGGGAACAACTATAATTGCACACAGGGATGGAAGCAAGAAAGGTGCAATTTCAGATCTGAGAGGCATAGCCTGGAGCCCTACCTAGACTGGACCAGTGAATGCTCCAGAAAAGATGGTTGTTGAGCTGAGTTTGCCTGAAGGATAAGGAAGAATTAATGCAGGAAATTTCCTGGATACAGCTCCCAGCTTGGCCCCTCTTGTTCCCAGACAGCAACACTATACCCTGGTGTGGTTTTTGGCATCTGCTTCATACTGAATTGCTTTATCTGGGGAAAGCACTCGTCTGGAGCGGTAAGTGTCTTCTCCCTGCCCCTGCCCAGTAAGGGGACTGTGATACTCACTGCTTCACTCCCTAGGGCCACTTCCTGTTGTTTCCTTCCCCTTTCTGAGTCCCCAGAATTCTGTTCTCAGCCCAAGAGACTGAGGACTGGTTGGGGTTTCCCCAGCATGGCCCATGTCCTGGCCCTGGCCTGTATATGAGCTTGAAGACAGCTGGCCAAAGCTCACTTCCCTAAAGGGAAGTTTTTCTTTGTCTCAGCAAAGGAGAGCTGCATGGTATGGATGTGTTAATTAGGTTTGTATCCCAAACAGGACTCTTGAGTCCCACGCCTCAGCATCTGCCCCTGTGGGTAAAGGCAGAGGATGGGGAGGGCCAAGTGGTCTGATCCTTGAGTGGGGATTCTACCAGCCCCAGTCTAGCAGCTGTCCAGGACTCAGTGAGCAGGATTTTGAACTAGTTTGTAGAGAAGGGGAAATGAGGGCCTCGGTCAGTTAGCAGAGTTAAAGCGGTGGGACAGCCATGTGTGCCCTGTCTGCAGATGCCTTCACCTCCCTAGATGAGGCTCCAAGTCCTGGCTGCAGAGGGCTAGCTTCTCCAGGGGCTGCCAGGCCGCCCTCCAGAAGCAGGGTCTTGCCTGAACTCTCACTTCCTCTTTGTTTATAGCTATGTCCCTGCTTTCCATCATTTTCCTACTGGTTACCAGCCACACATTTGTAGAAATTTCGGAAAGTACAGAGAAAGTAAAAGAAGTTAAAAATAACCTGTAATTTAACCACCTAGAGATATTTTGTTGATCTTTCAGTCTTGTTTCCACATAGATTTACTTAAAATGAAATTAGTAATTTATCAAAAACCCTAACATTTGCATGGTACTTACTTTGTAAAAAAAAAAAAAAAAAAAAAAAAAAGCGTTCTAAACACTTTACAATGTTAAAATATCTTCCTTTTTGTATGATTCCATTTGTTTGTTTGTTTATTTATTTATTTATTTATTTTGTGGAACCAGAGATTGACACTGAGCCTTCAGCAGGCTCTCCCACTTTTCTTTTTCTTTTCTTTTTTTTTTTAACTTTGAAACAGAGTCTTACTAGCCCTGACTGGGCTCAGATTTGCTGTCCTTCTACCTCAGCTTTCCGCAGTGCTGGAATTACAGGCCTGCACCACCATGCCCATTTTATATGGTTCTTATAAAATTCATAACCATACAAAAGAAGATAAAATGGAAACTCAGTTCTCTCCTTCATAATGTTAACTTTTGGGATAGGCCTTTCCTGGTACTCACACATACAGTGTTCCTGTGTGTAGTTCTTCTGAGCAAGGCATAGTCGCACACATCTGTAATCCCAGCACTCAGGAAGCTGAGGCAGGAGAATCAAAGCAGCCACAAGTTCAGAGGCAGCCTGGGCTACATAGTGAGTTCAAGACCAACCTGAACTACAAGGGAGACCCTATATTAAAATAAATAACAAAAAATAAAATGAAGTTGTTTTTACATACAGTATTAAACCTAGTTTTTGCACCTCAACAAAAATGGTGCTGTTCTATTTTAACCAAATTAGGATTGCTTCAAGCACTTTTTTTCCTTTTTTCTCTTCACTTAATGGATGATTTAATGTCATTTTCTTTCATTCTGGCCCTTTCATGCCCCCTTAGGATTTTCAGACCCTTCCCTCTTTCTTCTCTACTTCCTCTCTGGATGATGGGCTCCCAGCATGCCATGATTCCTCCCACCCTGGGAGCCCAGTCCTCCTCACCACTTGCATCCTGCTTTCCTTCCAGGAAATTCTTGGCCTTTCCTTTCAGGAGATTCTAGCCAGGACCCCAGGGTTGGAAGGCAGGACTTTTTCTGCCATGGTGGCCCCATTGCACCTATGATTACTGCTTCCCTGAAGCCCAGAAGGCCTCTACCCCTTGTACAGCCCTATCCTTGGAATCAGAGCCTGGTGAGGTGCTCATAACAGTGTGTTTGTAGGTGCCTTTTCCTACCATGGTTGCTCTGCTCTGCATGTGGTTTGGGATCTCCCTGCCCCTTGTCTACTTGGGCTACTACTTCGGCTTCCGCAAGCAGCCATACGACAACCCCGTTCGTACCAACCAGATTCCCCGGCAGATCCCTGAACAACGGTGGTACATGAACCGATTTGTGGGGTGAGTCTTCTGGCAGAGTCAAGAGCATGGGGCTTTTGAAGTTTGTGGGGCCAGCACTCCCCTGAGCTACAGCTTAGGAGACCATGGAAGAGGGTACTCTCCTTAGGAGCTGGAACCAGTGTAGCAGCTGCAGCCACATTAGCAGACCAGATGAAGGCCAGTCTCTCCATGACAGAGGACAGGGATGCAGCAGACTTGTTGCCAGCCTGCGATCCAGGATAGGGGAAGGGAAGATACAGGTTGTGGGACAGTTTAAGACAATCACTTGAACCTGTTTCCCACCTACAAACTGGAGAATAGGTACCCATCCTGCCTGCCTCTCAAGAGGGTATTGTTACTCAGCAGCACAGAGATGACTTGTCCCCTCCCTGTACAAGCACTATCTCTCCATGTCACTGTGGGAGCAGGGAAGCTTAGGTTTTCCGATGGCCAGTGTTGACCATGGTGCTCTGCTGCAGCATTCTTATGGCTGGGATCCTGCCCTTCGGCGCCATGTTCATCGAGCTGTTCTTCATCTTCAGTGTGAGTACTGCTGTCTCCCCACCCACACAATGCAGCCGCACCTGCAGCCTGGTCTCTTTCCCCCTCACTAGGCACACTGCTTCTTAACTACCTGTGAGATTATAGGCATGCTATTTAGCCTCTTTTTTTTTTTTTTTTTTTTTGGTATTTTAGGGAAGGGTCTACAGGGTATTCAGGGTCTCACTACTAGATCAGACTTATAGTGATCTGCCTGTCTACAGCCTCCCAAGAGCTGGGATTTCAGGCACATGCCACCACCCCCAGTCTCAATTGCCCAGTCTCAGTTGCTGTCTCAGCACCCCCCTGGGGGTGGTGCTGGGAATTGAATCCCTGTCCTGTTTAACCTCTCCCATGCCCATTTTGCACCCTGAAATTAGGGAGCAAACTTAGCTGCCAGGACAACTTTGAAAGGTGAAGGACATAGGCCACATATATAGGGTCAGGTGCCTGGGGCTCAGAACAAGAAATTTCCTTCAGGAATGCTACAGATTATTCACCTCCATGTGAATGTGTTGCACAACTGTCTCCACCACAGTGGCCCTGTTGCACATGTGGCTGCTGCTTCCCTAGAGCCCAAAAGGCCCCCTGCCACTTGCATTGCCCTATACTGGGCATCAGGACCTGGTAAGGTCCTCATAGCAGTGTGTCTGCAGGTGCCTTTTGAAGGTCTGAAGGTCCTTGCTATATTTCTCTCTGAGTCCTTTCCCTTTAGACTGGCTTTTAATATACTATATAGTCCAGACTGGTCTCAATCTCTTGGCAATTCTCCTGCCTCAGCCTCCTCAGTACTGGGATTACAGGCATGTACCACCACACCCAAATCCCTTCCCATCTTTTACCTGTTGACATCACCCAAAATTTAAGACAAGCAAGGAGAATGCTTTCCAGTGTCTGGATCTTGGTGGTCCAAAATGCCTTAGCATTCAGGAAATGCTGCTGCTGTGCAGTCATTACTCCTACCTAGGAGTGCCAAGATGAAGTTGGCAGAGGACTCCTCAGAGCCCCATAAGTCTGGTGAGGTAGTCCCATGTCCTGCACAGAAGGTGTCATGCCTCAAGCAGTGCTGGCCAGGTATCTACTACTACAGAGTTGTGACCCAGTCCTTCCCTACTGGGACCCTACACACACAGGGCTACCTTTTGACCCCTGTGCATTTCTCAGGGAGACCCCTTCTATCCCATCTATGTGCACCTGGGCCAGTTATTTCCTATCTTAGACTTGACCACCTCAGCTATAGAAGGCCTTGCATGTGTAGGCTCCTATTTGGAGATAAGTGTAGCACAGCATCTGCCATGTGGTATGCCACTCCTGAATAGTGGTAGCTGCTCTGTATTTTGATTGTTTCCTACATGCTGCTACCTTCAGACTAGGGCCCACTCCCTGAGAACTCCATCACTCACCCCCTGCTCCAGTCAGAGCCACACTCCAGGCCCACAGGCCCAGATGGTATCATCATTCCTGCTCTGGTGACAGACGGTATGTGGGGGAAGGGACAGTTGAATAGAGGCAGGCCAGCTGAAGGTGTGCTCTGGTATGTCCACAGGCAATCTGGGAGAATCAGTTCTATTACCTCTTTGGCTTCCTGTTCCTTGTTTTCATCATCCTGGTGGTGTCCTGTTCACAAATCAGCATTGTCATGGTGTACTTCCAGCTGTGTGCAGAGGTAATGGGAATGGGCCAGGAAGTGAGAGGGGAAGGGCTGGTCCCAGCATTGAGCAGGTCAGTGAAGCTGTACAGAGGCAAGGTCCGGGTTTCCCAGGTGGTCCCTAACTCAGGCTGTCTTGGGCCAGTGAGTTGCTTCCTTCCCAAGCCTCCCATTTCTCAGGTGTGTATTGCAGTTAATGATACTGTACCATCTTCATTGCATGATTGTGTGGGGTAGTCACCACAGCTTGATGCAGGACTGTGGGCTTGTTGACCCACTCTAGTGGTAGTTTCTCCAACAGCCTGGTACAAATTGGTGGTGACCTGCTATCCTTTGGGAGGTTAGCTCCTGAGAGCAGGTAAGCCATCCTGAATCTGGATCCTCTACTGGTGGCTCTGGATCTTCAGCAAGTTGCTCGGTCTCTGTGCCATGCACTGCTCCTCAGCATGACAGGGATAGTAACAGACCTAAGCTGGAGGCTGCTACAGATGTAGTCCTGAAAGTGGTTCCTAGCACATGGTAAGCATTTGGTCACTACTTGATAATTTTGGGGTCTGGAGATGTAGCTCAGTGATAGAGTGCAACATGTAAGATGCTATAGGTTTAATCCTTAGTATCACCAAAAATTAAAAAGATTTTTTCAGGCATGATTGTGTACATGTGGGAGGCTGAAGAGAGACGATTATAAATTTACGGGCAGGGCTGGGGAGATACCTCAGTAGAATAAGTGCTTGCCTGGCAAGCACAACGTCCTGAGTTCAATCCCCGGTACTGCAAAATTAATTAATTAATTAATTAATTAATTAATTTAAGGGCAGCTCAGGCAACTTAGCAAGTCCATATCTTAGAATTTAAAAGGCAGAGAATGTAGCTCAGTACCCACTGGGTCACTGCTTTTCACCACTCAAACGTTACTCTTCTTACCCAGAGTCTTGAGTTCCTCAGGCATCTGTGTAATTTGACTGAAAGAGGTCCTGGAGACAGCAGTAACTCTCCCTCTGTTTCTTCCTCAGGATTACCGCTGGTGGTGGAGGAATTTTCTGGTTTCTGGGGGATCTGCATTCTACGTCCTGGTCTATGCCATCTTTTATTTTGTTAACAAGGTACCACCCTCCTGAAAGGCCCCTCAGCCCTCTTAACGCAGGATAGTGGAGAGGAGAATGCTTTAGGGAACAACCCCATGTCAGAATCTGACTTTCTCAGCTGTGTGTAGTAGCACACATCTCTAATCTCAGCACTCAAGAGGCTGAAGCAGGAGGATCACCGTGAGTTTGAGGCCAGCCTAAACTGCATAGCAAGAACCTGTCTCGAAAGAAAAAAAAGGGATTTTAACTTTCCCATCAAGACTAGGAAAGAACACTCTTCGAACATGGCATCTTTTAAGAAACGAGATTGTCTGAGTTCTCTATGTTTAGGAGACAAACCTCAGTATAAACAGTGTGAATTTATGTGCAAACCCTGAAAATACCCACAGAGCAGTGCTTTAGAGCAATGTGTCTTTGACACAGATAATCCAATATTTACCTCCAGATATTGGGGGGACAATAAAAGTAGATGAAAGGAGTTAATAAAGATCAAAGAAGAAAATGCTAATACAGCCTCCAGAACCCAGGTCCAGGTTTCCTATCTCTAGGGACTTCCTTCTCTGTCCCGCTCAGTCCTGTGTGGTCCTGCAGAACGAGAGGACTGGCAAAATGAGGGCTTTGCCTGTCTCTCTGATGCCTCCCACCTTGCCACATGAGGCCACATGGGCTGCATGTAGGCTGACAGGAAAGAGAAGGTGACTTGCATGACTTAGGTAAGTTCCATCCAGCTCATGGTCCCTCAGGAATGGCATGAGTAAGAGCACAAACAGATCCCAGCAGTTTTGATAGATTCATGTATGACCCAGAACCAGACGTGCCTGTGAAAGGAGCTCAGGGGGCTCTGGTGGGCCCCTCACTCCACAGCAAGCACTGAAGACTTGAGCTCACCCATTGTACTTTGGCTTGCTTGAGCCCAAAATCAAATAGTCCTCTGCTTGCAACCAGGCCATATTTGCAAAACCAGAGTTGTAGGTCTGCTGAGTGAAGGTAGGAATCCTTTTCCCTTTTCCCCAAAACACCATGTTGGCTAGAACTTTCAAGATCATTTAGCAGGCTGCTCTGAAGTAAAATTTTATTAGACCATACCAGTGATCATCTACCTGTCCTCTGTGGCTACTTTCACACTGCAGTTGCAGAGGCCTCTAAAATCTAAAATACGATATTGTGGTCTTTGAAGAAAAAGTGTGCTGCTGGGCCTGGTGGCACACACCTGTAATCCAAGCATTTGGAGGCTGAGGCAGGAGGAGTGCAGTGAGTTCAAGGTCAGCCTGAACTGCACGGTGAGACCCTGTTTCAAAAAAGAGAGCAAAAACTGCTGAATGCTGCTACAGCACATCCAGTGTCAGAAAAGATACTTATTTCTATAAGGATTTTTTGTTGTTGTTGTTGTTGTTGTTCCAAATGCCTTCAGGGCAGGTTTGGCTGGCTTGAGTTGTGGGGATTGAACCACAGCAACCTGAGCCTGACTGCTTTGTTGAAGCAGCCACTTAAAGAACTGAGCTAACGGGCAGGCCCCCAAGATACTTATTTCCGACATTCCCAGTCTCCTTCCAGACAGCTCTGGCCATTACAAAGGGTTTTCCTTGCCATCTGCCCCCATATAACTTGCATCTTAGGTATGTAGTACTATTCTGGGGATCATCCTCAACAAATAAGTCCTCTATGTGAGTTAGAACTCTCGTGATTTGCTGGTGACCAAAACCCAGTTCCTACTGGCTTAAGCCAGAAGGGAACTTGTCAGCTGAATTAAAGGAACAGTTTTAGAAGTTGGAATCTTAGCTTCAGGCATAGTTCGATCCAGGATCTGAAAAATACCAGAGTTCTGTGTCCATACCTTAGCTCTGTGTCTGCAAGCAGAATCTTGCCACAAAGTAGAAAGCAGCTAGCTGAAGGCAGCCCCAGTGTCTCCTTTTTCAGTGCCACAGTTTAGGATTAAGAGTGTCTCTGTGCCATTTTGTGTCGGTCACAGGGAGCGCCCCATTGCCTTGCTCAGGTTACATGCCTCTCGCTCACTGTAGCTGGCCCAAAGCATGGTGCTCTCTGATAGCCTAGCTTAGGTACCCACAAGACTTTGTGGGAGAGATGGATTTAGCCTCAAAATAGCACCTTCACCCCTTAGGCTTAGGAGAGTCTTAAGTAGTGACTTAGTGAGACTGTCTCAAAATAGAAAACTAAAAATAGGAATGGGAATATAGCTCAATGTCAAGGTCCTGGGTTAAGTCCCCAGTCATACACAAATCCAAAAACAAAACAAATGGAAATTAGAAGGTAATTACAATGAAAACACACACACCAGAATTCTTGGAGTACTGTTGTTTTCTTCTGAGCTCCTGGACTTGGTGGCCCCTAGGCCCGGGAAGAAGCTTCTCTCAGGCCCTGGTACACTGGGCACATCTTGGTACCAAAATTGCAAATTAGTTCCATTTGTCCTAGCAAACACCACAGCAGTGCAACTCCCTCACATCACAAAAGAATCCCAAACACAAGGGAATCTGAGGCACTCCAAGATAAGTATCACCATGAGATTGTTAACAAAAGTGACAGGCATTCTCAGACAAGGAATGCAGGCTGATGGTGACTGTCTGGTCTTTAAGATCAGAGCTTTGGACACCTCCGCACTGCACCTTGTGCTGTCCAGGAGTGTTACTATGCAGTGCTAGAGACTGGAAAACCAGGAAGTGGTCTCGCTCTGGTCATTCCTGCTTCTAGCATTCTGGCCTGGCCCTGGCCCTGTGGTCATGGGCATCCAAGGCAGTCCACAGGCCTTGAAACAGGGGAAGCCTCGCCATGTCTGTGAGCCCCTTTCCCTCACAAGTGGCAGTTTTGCCACTACATGGGGTGGGGGTGGGGACTGTAGCCACCTGGTACTAAACATCTATCCCTCTCTTCCCTCTTCACTTGCTGCCCCAGCTGGACATCGTCGAGTTCATCCCTTCACTCCTGTACTTTGGCTACACAGCCCTCATGGTCCTATCCTTCTGGCTGCTCACGGGCACCATTGGCTTCTATGCAGCCTACATGTTTGTCCGCAAAATCTATGCTGCTGTGAAGATAGACTGATTGAGGTGGACCGTGGCCAGGCCCACTCCGTCTTTGGACAGGAAGCCTCCCTGCGTGGGGAACTGCAGGCACACAAAATAAAATAACTCCTGCTCATATGGAATATAACTCCTGGCACAGTGTTCCTGGATCCCAGGGCTGCGTGGGGGGCGGGAAGGCCTGTAAAAATCTTGCATTTTTTTCATCTTATACCAGTTTTGTGGGGGCCGAATTTTTTATGGTTTTTTTTCTTCAGGGCTAAGAAAGTTCCCTTTAGCAGGAACTCTAACCTGTGTTCAGGTTTATTTTGGTTTGGGTTTTTTTTCCCTTAGTTCTTAAACAAATGGATCCAGAATGGATAACTCCACCAAGATACTGGGTTTGGTCACCATCTCCACCTCAGTTCCTCAGGGCTGTTGGCCACCCTGCAACTAACCAGAAGAGGAGATGCTGGCACCCCAGGGATGGTTCTGAGCCTTGCCACGGATACCATGACACTGCTATTCTAGCCTGGACAGCCCTCTCAGTGCCAAGCAGCCTCTACCCCCACACACACCTACTTCTCTCTTGCTCAGCTTTCTCCTGGGCCACCGAGGTAGAGCTTCCAGCCAGCCCTGTGAGCCATCTTTTCACCAGGAGCAAGGTGGCTACAAGGAAAGTCCCTGGAAGCACTGGGGCGGGTTCTCTAGGACAGCAGGAACCCCTCATCAGAGCAGCCAGAGTCTGCTGACCACCACAGAGGAAAAGGAGAGACTTGCAATGAACTGTTCTTGTGCCAAGAAATCCTGGACCTGGAGCCGTGAAATTATAGAGCCAAGCATTTACCTGTCTATGTCTGGGAAGGGATGGCTAGGCCACTAGGGTCCTTGCTCCTCAGGACTGCTCCCGAGTTCTTTCTTCAGAGGCTGCCCATCTTTCCAAAAAGCTGGTGGTAAACCTACTTCACTTCCAGGGCAGAACAAGGAGGCCTAGAGACCTAACATCCACTACTTGAGGTGGCCAGCCAGAGCCATTCTCTTCCCTGATGTCCCTTGGCCTCTTGTGTTTCTGCTCATTTTTCTTTTAGCCAGACTCATGCCCCCACCTCCCATCTGAGTGTTTTTGGGACACCCAGAGAACTACTGCGAAAAGTTTTGTCATTCCTTCCCCATTTCCCAGGAAGAGGCAAGAAGTCCAGTGTCCCCAAGCTGGAGGGAGGAGACTTATGTGGCAGCCTCACTCTTCTGCAAAGCCCTGCTTCCCAGCCACAGGCAACCAGTGTAAGTCACAGATACTGGCTCTCAAATTACAAGACTTCACCTGGGATTAGGGTTTAAATAATAGGCTCTTGTCCCTGCTCTGACCCACCATGAGATGAATCTCAGGATACTGGTTATGCTAGGAATGCCCACACACCCTACTGCCCCAGCTCCAGGGCCCCTGCCAGTTCTGTCAGTCAAATTGGAGAGCTTCTGACTCTTGCCTCATAGTGACTCCGCAGTGCCATGCAGCGTCTACCAAGAATCAGGTTGGAGAAGAAGAAACCGAAGCAGTAGAGAAGTATTCTCAAAAGACTCATCAGAGTCTTGTTCATTCAAATCTTCGATTTTTTTTTTCCCATAAGAGATTCTTTTGGGGGGGGGGGGAGTGGGGAAATGGACTCCACAAAGTCTTCAAACATTGTCAATTTTTCTGACTTTTTAAATCATTGTCATTTTTAATTTAAAAAATGCCTGTTTGCCTTTTTTGGTCCTGTTGTAAATAAAAATGCCATTGTGCTGTTATGTCTCAAATCACTTTTCAGGGATAAGGTCTAAGGCCTGATGGCTTGCTTGTGTGGGTTGTGCTGGGTTGGTTTCTCTTGAAGCTCCTATCAGGTTTTCTAGCTAAGTTTTGGGCACTTGCTCTTCACTGCCTAGTATAAGTCCGTAGCCTCCTGTTTGTTCAGTCCCCCAGCCACACTGAATTAAACAGGGCTGCTCTGATCCCACAGCAGTAAATGGCAATCAGGTGTGGGCTTTGGAAGACGTAAAACCTGGTTTTGAATCCCAGCTCCAATATTTTACGGTCAACTCAGTTCAAACTCTTTTATCATGAGTAGCTCTTTCAGTTGAAACAACAGATTCCAGCACTGGTGGGACTTCCATCTTCAAGACAGGGAAGGAGGGGAAGCAAAGGGCAGGGGCCAGCAAGAGATGTCGGCTTAGTGATTGAGGATGTTGCTTCATGGTAGAGTATGTCTTAGCATGCACAAGACCTTGAGTTTAGTATATAGCACTAAGAAAAAGATAAATTTAAGTCAACTAACCTAAGTCCTAAACAGAATTAATTGGTTCATAGATCCTCAAAAATATTGTTGGTTTCTCTTAAAGTCTGACTAGGTCTGACCTGAAGAAAAGGATAGTCTCAGGATTCTCTACTGTGCTTCTCTCAGAACTCTGCCATTTTTAGCTGTGGTTTTTCCCGGTGAGTGAGGCAGAGGGCATGCATGATGCCTCACTATTCTTTCTCTACTTCAGTATATTCAGCATGTTTATTCAATATGGAAACACCAAGAAAAGTCTGGCCCTGGTTGTATATCTGTGACAATCACTATATCCAGGGGTACAGAGTACATTCCCATGAGTACTAGATAGTGTGGATTTCAGCCCCACTAGTATTACCTAGAATGAGTGATGAAAAAAGAGCTGTCTTCCTTAAGCCACACATCATCACAATACTTGGGAGGCTGAGGCAGGAGGCTCACTGAGCCCAGGCAGGCTACTTAGTTCAAGGCCAATCTGAACTATACAGCAAGACCTTGTTTCAACAAAAACAAAAAGCAGTCCCCCGTGGAAAACCTAAAGCAAACAGAAACAGCAGTTGCCTCTAAACCTCACCTCTTCCAGCTCGGCCTTAGTTTTCTCATCTGGAGTATTCTCTGTGTTCCAGGCCCTGTTCCACTTTCCATGTGTTGGTCCACTTCACACGTTCACAGTGGTGCTGTAATTCACATTACACTTGGGGGCAGCTCTGAACCACTGGCGGTATGTATGTGACTCCCATTAGGCAGGAGACAGTCCCATTGGATGGTACAGAATACCCCATGTGCCAGTCACACATATACCACTAGTGGCTCAAACCAGCAGGAGCATGTGAATCTTTGTAAGAGCTGAGATAACAGAAAATGTACCTTAGAGACAGATTCTTAGCACCCTTGGACAGTTGGGGTAGCCTGTTGAGTGTCCATACAGGTGTGGTGGATTAACTAACTGGGGCAGGTGGACTCCAACTTTCCCTTCCAGGCACTATTCTATGGCTACCGCTTTGAAGGTATACTTGCATATATATTTCTCTATGTGTAAAATGACACTGCAAAATTTGGTAAGTTGACATATTCATGAAACCATCACGACAATTAGTATAGAGAGAACAGCCAAGTTTCTGCTGCCATCCCAGAACAGCCACTCATCAGCTTTCTATCATAAATTAGTTTGCATTTCAGGTCTGGCTTTCATTCAGCATACTTCGTCTATTCCTTTTTTTAAATTCAGGAGTAGTATTCCAACGTGTGAGGTTTGTTTCTCCGCTCATCCTTTCCTGGACGTGGGTGCTTTCCATTTTAGCCATTATAGCATATAGCTCAGTGGCATAAGTGACTTTTTCCTGGCAAGCACAAGATCTTAGGGGCCGGGGAGATGGCTCAGTGGAATAAGCACTTCCCTGGTAAGTGCAACGGCCTGAGTTCAATCCCCGGTTCCATGAAGAAAAAAAAAAAAAAAAGCACAAGGTCCTGAGTTTGATCCCTGGTACTGGGAAAAAAAAATTTAGCTATTACCAATAAAGTTACTATTACCAGCCATATGTGGTATCATGTGTTTGTAATCCCAGCACTCAGGAGGATCACTATGAGTTGGAGGCCAGCCAACTATGTAACCGCTTAGGTAGTGAGTTCAAGCGTGAGGGTTTTTTTGGTTTTTTTGGCAGACCCGGGGATTGAACTCAGGCCCTTGCGCTTGCCAGGGAAGCACTTACTCTATTGAGCCATCTCCCCGGCCCATGTAGTGAATTCAAAGCCAGCCTGAACTGCATAATTGAAACCCTGTGTTAAAAAAAGCTACTACTACCAAGAGAAGCAGTAATGTGGCTGGATCATGAACTAAGTGTACGTTTAACCCAATGGTCAAGCTCTTTCCTAAGGTGCTTGCATCATCCTATATTCACTTCCACAGTATGCTAGAGTTCCAGTTTCTTTAACTTTTTTTTTTTTTTTTTTTTTTTTTAGACAGGCTCTTGCTGTGTAGTTCAGGCTGACCTTGAACACACTATGTAGCTGAGACTGGCCTCAAACTCAGCAATCCTCCTGCCTCAGCCTCCCAAGTGCTGAGATTATATAGGCAGGGGCCACCACACCTGGCTTACTCCTTGATGCATGGGATGGTCAGTCTTTTTTAATTTTAGCTATTTGAATAGACATATCTCCTCGTGATTGAACTTCCCTAGTAACAACGTTGAGCATCTTTTCATGTGCTTATTTATCATTCATCTCTTGAGTTCAGTGAAGTATCTGTTGAAATCTGTCTTGGATGATTTGAGTTTTGAGAATTCTTTGTTTTCTGCATGCAAGTCATTTATCAAATACTTTGCAAAGGTTTTCTCTCAAGTCTGGCTGTGGTTTAGTTTTGTTCCATGTTGTTTTGTTTGCAGTGCTAAGGACTGAGCCCAGGGACTTTGCACTGAGCTGTGTCCCCAGCCCTTTTGTTATTTTTTTATTTTGAGACAGGGTCTTGTTGAGTTTTCTAGGCTAGTTATCTTTTCCATTTTGCCTTTGTGCTTTTGACAAAAATCAGTTATCAACATGAGTGCATTTATTTCTGAAATTTCTGTTCTGTTTTATCAATCTGTTTAGTTGTATGCTAATACTTGTTTATAGTACTACAACATAATAATTCTTAAACTCAATTACTGCTACATTCTTTGTTTTCAGAGTTGGCTTTCCCATTCCAGGCCTTTTATACTCCCACCTGAGGCTTTAAATCATCTTGTTGATTTCTACAGAACACTTGCTGCAGTTTCTGTTGGGAATCGTGTCAGATCTCTAGATAATTTTTTCAAAGAACTACTAACAACACGTCTCCCAACCCATGAGTAAGTTATACTTCTCCATTTGTTTAAGTCACATTTACTTTCTCTCAGCAGTATCTTACGTCTTCAGGGCCTGTGTTTTTCATATTTTACCCCTAAGCCCAGGCGTTGAACCCAGGGTCTGCACTCAGCCATCTTCCCAGCCTTTCTATTTTGGGATAGGGCCTTGCTAAATTGACCAGGCTGGGCTCAAATTTGTGATCCTCTTGCCTCAGTCTCTCAGAGTACTGAGTTGACAGGCAGATGGCATCAGTTTTGCATATGATTTGTTGGACTTACTCTCAAGTATTTCATTATTTTTTGTACTATTATAAATGGTATGGATTTAGTTCTGATTTTTTACTGCTATTACTTAGAAATGCAATTGATTCTTAACATTTTTCTTATAGTCTAATATGTTAGCCAGACTCACTTTTAGCTTCTAATAGCTTTTTTGTAGATTCCATGTTTTCTATATAGGGGATCATGTTGAATGTGAATAAAAATTTTTACTTCCTACATGAGGACCTGAGTTCAATCCTGGTACAAAAAAAAAAAAAAAAAAAAAAAAAGAAGTTCACTTCTTTTCTAGTCTAGATATCTATTTCCTGCTTAATTGTGCCGGTGCAACTTCTAGTACAGTGCTAAATGATGAGCATGTCTTTAATTTGCTCTTTTCTAGTAACAAGATAGACATTACACACCTGTAATCCTAGCATTTTGGAAGCTGGGGCAGGAGGATTAAGACAAGTTCAAGGTCAGCCTGGGGACTACATAGTGGGTTCAAGACTAGCCTGAGCTACCTAGCAAGACCCTGTTCCAAAAAGCAAAAAAAGATGGAAATGTCTTTTCTCGTGCTAAGGCTCAAACCTAAGGCCTCACTTATACAGGACAAGCACTCTACCACTGAGCTATATCCTCAGCCCTAGATTTTTTTTTTTTTTTTTTAAGATAGGGTCTCATTATGTAGACCAAGTTCAAACTGGTCTACACCTTGGGGCTGGGATCGTGTCAGCCTCCCAACTGTTCACATTACAGGTGTGTGCCACTGCATCCAGTTCTTGGATTTCTTTTTAAGTCTTGTAGCAATGCCCCAAGAATTCTGGTATATGTATTTTCATTGTAATTAAGTTCAGAATTAATTCATTTCCATTTGTTTTGTTTTTGGGTGTATGTGTGAGAGGGGAGGGGGAGGAGAGAGAGAGACAGAGAGACAGAGACAGAGAGAGACAAAGAGACAGACTGAGGATTTAACCCAGGGCCTTGACATTGAGCTATATTCCCAACCCTATTTTTAGTTTTTTATTTCAAGACAATCTCACTAAGTCACTAAATTGCCCAGACTGGGCTCAAAATTGCAATCCTCCTGCACCAGCTTCCCAGAATGCTGCTATTACAAGTGTACACTACCATACCTAGCTTGATTTTTTTGTTTGTTTGTTTGATTAAAGTTTAAGTTCGTTTTCTGTTCTTGTTTTTGTTGATTTGTTTTTTGTTTTGTTTTGGGGGGGTTTTTTTGGTGGAACTGGGGATTGAACTCAGGTCCTTGCACTTGCCAAGGAAGCGCTTATTCTACTGAGCCATCTCTGCGGCCCCTTGATTTGTTTTTTGATACAGGGTCTCGCTGTATAGTTGGACCGGCCTTGAACTTACTGTGTAGCCCAGGCTGGTCTTGGAGTGG